GGCAGTGTACAACATGTACAATAAGGTGACTGAAGAGCCAAAAGAGACTGAGACCAAACATTCACCCTGCAGTATCTCCCTTAATTGGTCTATCTTCAACCTCACTGACCCCCCTCCCCCCCCCCTTTAATTTGAGAGCCTCTGGCGACTGGAATTTTTGCCCCATACTGGTAAGCATGGCAACAGTATAACCTATGTAGTAACTACTTATGCAAGCATCATCACCTTAAGTATCACTAAGGCAGTGCATGCTACATAGTTTATACTGTTGCCTTGGTCACTTGTGGCTTCATGAAAATGGCTTTCAAAAATGGCACTATGGCTGATATGTGGATTAAAAATGTGTAAGAAAAAATGTTTTATGAAAATGAGATGAAATTAAATGCATCTATAACTGAATCTATTGTAGAACGGTCAAATTATGTACATTATGAACTCAAGCAAATAAACAAAGTCTCACCTTTTCATTGGTGTTTCTAGTGTTCCTGTTAAGCTTATGGCACTAGCATTGTTAACAAGTATATCGATTCCACCAAATGTCTTCACAGCCTTTTGCACTGCCTCAGTTACAGCACCTTCATCACGAATGTCCACTGCACAGGGAAGGCACTTTCCACCAACCTCTTCAACTTCAATCAAATACATCAAATCATTACATGTTTGCTTTCACTAGAAAGGTTTTAGGGTTTAGGAAAGCCAACCAGACTGAAAGAAGACCTGTGCAGATAATAATTACTGTTGACAGTCCAAATTTGTTTGAGACTTTAAGCTGTAACCACCTGCAGGTCACAAATATGTTTATGTTTCATCTCCGTCTTTTACGTTCATGCAAATTAAGAGACAATTATTATCATTCAATGTTTTTTTTCATCCCTTTTCATCAGTGAAGATCTTACAGCATGGTTTAAAAATAACTGCACGTACATTTATAATGGTCTTCTGATGTACATTACATGTAATATCCGACAGTGATTTTGTAATATTCTACTTATGCATAGTTGTGTCTACTCCTGTGAAAAATGGC